CACCCTATCAACTTCTACAGCATCCTATCTTAACAACCTCTGTAGGTGGGTGGGTGGGTGGGTGCGGGGATACTCTGTCGAAGGGCTCACTGGCAGACAAACAGGTGTCAAATTATCGTGAAAACTCAACACCTTCATCGGGCGGCCTCTTTCTGTCCCAGGACATACACATATACCTTATGCATTGGTAACGCATCTTCAATGCAAAAGGTACATCAATTACCTTTTAGATACTCAGCGGGAGGTGTCAAAGGTACATCAAATGTGGTTTAAACACTCAGAATGGGATCTCACCTTATCTCGATAAAAAGGTGTCGCGGTAGTGTGATACCGATGGATGTTAAGAAACTTAATAACCACTTTGATATATTCAAGTTGCATGATGAATTTACAACAGCACATAAATCAACAAAACAAAATGTTTTAGAATCATTATTGACAAAGTGGAAATTGGAACCGAAGAATTTATCTTATATGACGTTTATAAGAGAGACTCTAAGAACTCGCTATTACAATAATTTTTATGTTTATTACAAAACACTGCTAAAAAATCATAAAAAAAGAGAGAAATTTAAAGACTAATATAAGAGTTGGTTAGATGAAACTATAATATTCAATTTTTGTTCATTGCAAAGAGAAAATGTAGATAATACCAGTTCAGATAATTCAAATTTTCATAAGTAATATTAAAAGTACATAATCTTTTTTTTTAATTTTATATTAAAATTCAAACGCTTGTCAGTATAATTAGGTATATTTAAAATCAATGGATTGTGAGTATTGAGTCCTAATTGTATGAAATCTGATTGTACTACTATAAGATTGAAATAAGATTAATAAAACATTTTCTAAATTCGAATAGAGCGCATGCGCAAACCGTATTTATAAGCCTGAAGATTTCTATCCACTTTCTTTGTTGAGAAATTTTCTCATCGATTTTGATCTTCAAAATAACATTAATAAACATAGTAAACTAGTTTTTATGTGTAAATCTAATTAACTAAAGATATCCAGTTTATTCACGATTAGTATAAAGATTTAAACTTTCTGTAAATGGTGATAATTTATAAAAGTCGAATGAAAGTTTTTTTAATTTTATTTTCAGTCGATTTCAAAATTCTATTAATTCTTTATTTTAAATATAGTTATTTAAATTATACAAGCCGACTTAATTTTGAATTTTAACTTTGAACCTTTAATACTTAATTTAAAATTGAAATCTTTTCTAGACCGTCATTTCCGTATACCTGCAAATTGAAATCAAAGTTATTTTTATGTTATTACATGATTTTCTTTTCAAAGTTATAAATTAAGAAGACCTATTATATCATACGAAAATGCTTCTAGCAGAACACAGGAACAGAAACATAGGAACAGAACACATAGGATGATCAGTAATTTATCTGAAAGTATTGCTACTGAAGAGTGTTTTGATTTGGCGAAAAGGAAATTTAAAATTGAAGGAAATCGCAGTGCCTTAAAGATCTTCGATAAATTGGATCAGGAAAATTATGCAAATATTCTAATAAAAAACGAAAAGAAATATTCAAATTGTTCACAAATGAAACCATTGAATGCAGTTCGCTAAGTCGATTTACAATTAACATTGTGTATGTACCTTCACACCGTAAGGTTAATTCAAATATTAAGATTTTTGAGTTATTTAAATTCATGTTCATAAAATATGATTTGAAAATTTTTTGTTAAAATAAGCATTGCATGTATTTTAGATTTTAGTTGAAAAATAAAAATTTATTCTCAAAATTACGTTGTAACACAGCAAGGTTTACAGTGCCGTTGCAAAACCTTTATGACGTAGTTGAATGGTTATTTGAATTTCTAAAATCAAATTTTAACGATGAGTTAGATCATTCCACAAGATTGATTTTAATTCATAAATATAGGTTTTATAGAACAAATATAAAGACATATAAACAGGAGTTATTTCAAAATGAAGGCGAAAATACTGGAATTTTTTGTCCGTGTATGGTTCCACTTAAATTAGTAGACGAAAAAAACAATACCGTTTATTAGGAAAATCCCCGACTTTCGTTTGAAATAGATTTTGCTGAGCCATAAAAATTTATTTTGACAAAGAAACAAACCAATTTATTCAAAAGGAAGGATCAAAACTTAAAAAACAATTAATAACTTAAAATATCTTTGTATCAATGGATGTAATGTAGGCTTTAAAATGGAACTAACAATGATTGATGGGAAGGTATTAACATTTTTGTTAGTTTCTCTCAGTCTTTGATAATATAAATTTAATATTGTAACGGGGGCAGCGCCTTATTCGGCACTGACGTCACCAATTTATTAAGGGGAGAGTAAGAGAGGCACTTTCGCTCTTTAACAATCGGGGAACGAGAGGATAGGTCGAACAAATAAATAATTTTCCTTACTTGGAACATACAACTTAAATCTATTCAGACAAACAAATACAAAATCGGTTATAATAAAGTTTGCATGACGCGCACATGTACAGAACAACTTAAACCAACGCGGGGGGATGAATGGCCCGGCGACTAAATCGCCTTGACCATTTGCCTCCTTACAAAGGAAAGAATACGTCGAAACCTCTCTACCGCATTACGATGAGCGTAGCCGGCAAGTGATCGCCTGGCTACCTATCGTTCCTACGCGGCCGCGCATCACCATGAGAGAGAGAAATATCGGGAGAGAGAGATAACCTGACCTTAGTCCTTGGCGATGAGCCGGCAAAGGGGAGTTGACCTGGCCGCTGGCTGGACGTCTTCCTTGGCGTAGCCCGTGGTGAACCCACTGGAAGTCATGCCGTGCACGGTGGCGAAGGCGACACTGAGTGCCCTGCTGCAGGTATTGTCGCCACACGTTGCCTCGTCTCGCCCTGGTCTGATCACTCCTGCACGTGTACTTCTTCTCTCTTTGCGCTGCTACTTCCAGCTTCTCTCCTTAACTTTCTTCCGGGAACTGGCTCACGCGACTTGACGCATGGTCAGCGTTCGCGCTCTCGCCGGGCTCTCCCACCAAGCCCACTCATTAGGCGGCGTGCGACAAAAGCGCTAATTGGTCGCGCGTCACACGCCGGCCCAAACCTGCATAGTGCGTGCATAGACGCGCACTCTAGCATGCTCCCTAACTCTCTCTCTCTCTGTCTCTCTCTGTCTCTCTCTGTCTCTCTCTACCTCATAGTCGCTGCGCTCTTGCTTCTTCGGGCGCTCTCAACCTTACTCGGCAATCTTCGGCGGTTGGAAAAACATAAAGGCCAGTGGTTAGGCACAATAAATATATGCGCCGAACGCTGACCACGTCGCCATGCCGAGCGATAAGAGGGAGAGAGAGAAGGAGGGCAGACGAGGAGCAAGCGTACTGCTTGCTCTCGTCACAATATCAATAAAATATTTAACCAATGAAAGTTTGTGGTGCACTTAATAATACCTCTAGTCAAACGTACTTTATATGCAAAACAACAATATCTCATTTAAACAACATTAAAACACTGGTAAACATGGAAGTTGATCAGGAATTATTGAATTATGGATTTTCCATTATTACATGCACTGTGACGATAAACGTGACGATAAACGATATGGGACGGACCGCGCGCGAAGGTAGAAGAACTAGTCGAAATTTAGCCATCCGAGAATTTAGAAGCGCACAGGAGCCGGATTAACTCGTACGCAAACGCGGATATTTAAAAGAGTGCGGAAGCGGGACCATTAATAATTTCCGTTGTTGTTGCTGTCCGGAGTGATTGGTGATAACGCCATCGCCGGCCAACCACGAGGTCGCGGAATCCATCCGACAGAGAAAACCCCGTTTCCAGTTGAGAAAAGCGGCAACTTGAGCTTTATCTTGAAAGACGATACTAGTCTGCTCGCCCTGATAGTGCGACTATTCATATATAAGATTTATATATAAGGTAATCTGGCCAGCTTCGCGTCGCGATTTTTGTTAAACAACCGCGTTTAATTACTCTCCCCTCACGCCGGCGATTGTGAGAAAATCGGTAGCGAGCGTGCAAACGAATATCGTGAGTGAGAGACTATAAACGAAATGCCGATGCGTAAGATTGTCGCGCGCGTCGCATAAGCTGAATGCGCGGGCCAAGCGTATTGTAGATTATATAGAAAATAAACTAGCTCATTTATGATTGAAACGTTAATTTATTGTTGTCTTTGCTAATAATAAGTTGGTTGTCTGACATCTGTCCTCTCCTGCTCTCCGGTTAGTTAATAGACTCGATTATTTCGATCTTCCCGCGCTCATTCCGGTACGACTGCGCATCGGGCGAGACAAAGAAATAAAACGAAATTCACACCCCGTTACAGCACATATTAGATTTATATAATTAGTACTTGATATTAGTTACCATTTTGTTTTAGAAAAGAATGCAACGGAGAGGGTGAGTACTAAATTTGATAAAATGAATAAAATCACACTCTATACCGATTATGCACATAATTCCTTCAAACAAAAATATTCCAGAGTATGTATTTAACTATTTTCATATATCAATTTGAAATTTTTGAAGGTGTATTGTTATTTCATATTGTAGAAAATTACGAAACACTCTTGTAAAGTGTTGTATCACAGAAATATATCATTAGTATTTGTCATTTTTATAGATTTCTAAAACGGATGTAGAAGAAGTTGAACAATGGAAAAAATTAATTCAATGTGGTCTTCGAGATGAGCTGGGTATATTAGTCGATATTATTTTACAAGGTTCTCGTAATACAGACGATGATAATACCGCTAGGAAATTGTTTAATAACTTTAAGATAGTTTTCAATATAACTAGTAATTGCAATCGCTAAATTTTGGATTGTGGATATTATTATACTTTATTTTAATCTATAAACATTTGATTTGTTGTAGGATTCCATAAAGATCTACTTCAAAGGTTGCATGTTATTCTTGTACTGATATCGTCTGGATATGAAATAAATACAAAGGAATTTGAAATCTATTATGAAGATACAGTAAAAATATATATTAGATTGTACAACTTTTACTACATGCCTCATCTGTACACGTTATCTTATTACACGGTTGGAAAATTATAGATAGACTTATTCTATGGATTGGATATTTCTCAGAAGAAGCTTTAGAGAGTGGCAATAGAAACATTGAAAGATTTAGAGAAAAACTTAAAAAAAAATGCTCTAGGTATTTATTGAAATTTCTTTGCCAAAAAGTAAAATAAGATAATTAGCGACATAAAAATCACTATGAATGAAAAAATTGCTTTCGATTGAGATTGTTAATATACTTTAGAATATTCTGTATTTAAATGTGTATTATTATTTTTTTTTTACGGTGTTTAAAAAACAGGCAAATCCTCATGGACCTGGCGTGTATGAGTACGTCAGCGGGCAAAACAGTTTACCCGCTGTATCTAGCAGACTCAGGGGCTTGTACGAAGACGGGCTATTCGGCCCTCCTTTGCCTTTGTGCAGGAGAATCAATCTGGCTGTCTTTCATCACGTGAAGAAGATGCCAGCCCGCAAGACCGCTCTATACATGTCCAGGAAGAGTCCCAGACGTACAACCGCGATCCGACGGAAGATCTTCCCCGGAATGCAGTTCGGTCCCGAAGCCTTGCCGGGTTTAGGCGTGGACGCAGCTCGAGTGAGCTCTGACCCACCTAACTCAAGCACTGTCGTCTCTTGGTCTTCCATGGCATCATTCGTTTCTGGCTGGTTCGGGAAGAGTCCGTGACTATTGTGCTCGTAGTGTCCTTTGGTTCGAAAGGGACTAGGAACCCCAGTTTCTTGGTCACAATCTTGTAATCAAGACCCCAGGGATCCTTCTTCATTTCTTGGCACAATTCTCTCAAGCAGCGGTTCTTGCATTCTTTGATCCCGGTAGTCAGAGCTTTTCGTGCCGTCTTGTACTCGGTCGCCAGTCTGCCTGCGTCTTAACGTCCCTTCATTCGCGCTCGATTTATCCTCCTGCGGCAGGCAATGTATTCTCTACGGAGGAGGTCGATTTTTTCCGTCCACCAGTACGTTGCTTGTTTATTCTTTCTGCTGTTGTGTCGGATCATCGTGGCTTCGTACAGTTGCGTTATCAAGTCCATCGTCTGGTTATCCAGTTTACTCGTTCCCGTGTGCTGAGTTCTGCCGACAGAGCTTCGGTGGGTGCCATCACGTCCTGCAGAAGTCTTACGAAGCGCTCCTTGTCTTGCTTCCAGTACTTCAGAGTCCTAACTCTGGTTTATCCGTTTTGTTGAGTCGTTGCATGATCCACCACCTTAATGACAATGTGCTGGTAATCGCTGGCTGTGTAGTCTTCTACCGCCCGTCATCCTCTTATCCGTGATGAGATCATGTCTGAAGTCATTGTCACATCAAGTATTGAGTACCTGAAGACAGATCGTCTGTACGTCGGAGTCGTTTTTTGGTTGGCCACTACCAGATCCAACCTTGTGGTCATCTTCAAAAGTAACCTCCCTCGTTTGTTCATCATTGTCATGCCCCACTCAATCGCCCTGGAGTTCAAATCATCCACAACGACGAGGTTGCCTGATACGAGTAGATCTCTGAAGGTGTTCTTTAGCTGACCAAATTTTTCCTCGAAAACTGTCATCGTGTAGTTGGAGGTTAAGTATACGCTAACGTAGATGACGGAATCTATCCTCACTCACGCGTAGTCTTCCCCCCTTCCTGACACCTGTATTCTCCTTGCCGATTTTCCCTTTACTGTTCTTTGGTTTGATCGAGATAACGTTGATTCCTCCTTTTCGGGGAGGGTCTACCACTTTAGACCGAGTCTTTTCCGTCATGTTCTTCTGCGCGGGCGTCACCGTTGTCGAAGCCAATGGTTACCGTTGCCGTATCGCTAGTCGACTTCTTCGTTCTCTTCTTAGTTTTCTTAGAGGGAACCCTAGCCCAATTCTATCCGTCCGCTACTCTTTGGTAGGCAGCGGTCTGCTCAGGGCTGGTTCTGGTTGTTTTTCTCTTCCTTTTCTGTCCCTTTATCGCTTCGCCGACGACGTTTTTCAGGAGGGGAGGGTCAGGCATTCGCATTCACTTCATACAATTTTTACTGCCTTCTTTATAATGTTGATCCCTGTCGTTATGACTGTGCTGACATTTCTTTGGATCTTCCTTTCGGTCTTTTCCAGCAGCGTGTCAATACGTCTGAGTTGCACCCGAACCAGCTGGAGGCTTTTCGCTGTCTGTCCATTGTCCGTGGTCGCATTTTGGCGTGCCATTTCTACGACTAAGATGGTCGTCGACGTTGTTGGTATGCTGGGTTGCACTTGGGACTCTCGTGAGTCTGCGGTTTTCGGTGCAGATGACACTGTGAAACTTGCATTCTTTTTTGTTGTTTTCTTCAGCTTCTGTGTAATTGTGTATGTTTGTAAAGTGTCGTGTTGTGGTCAAAAGAAACTCCTCGAGATAATTAAGCCCAGTGACTCGCCTTGGACTCTCCCAGAACCAGAGCGCCTCTACAATTCGGTGACCACGGTACACAGTATTGCTAATGTTCGTTCCTAGTTCTCCCTCCCCTCTCGCAGCATGGACCCGTCCGATCACCAGTAAGTATTATTACAAGAGTCAAGATTTCTAGCTTTCGCTATCTTAATGTGTGGGGCGGCCTCCCATGTCAGCTACACAACGTTCAGCTCCCTCCTATTGGCGGCCCAGCAGTGCCCACTGGTTTTAAAGACTGTACCTTCCAGAGTGGAGGCACATACTGGTGTAAGGAGTCACGCCATCTCGATTTGTATCTGCTGGAAACCAGTCTGTCCGTCTCATTTTCTTTCGGAAGATACTCTTTTATAGAGCTTCCGTCTCACGTTACTCATTTAGGATGAACCGTTTATAGGTCATGGTTTATCTCGTTCATTGGTGGTTTTCGTTTATACAACTCCCCATTCGTACGACAGAACGAACTTATTTCTGTGTAAGTGTGAGTGATGAATAGTTGAGGACATCAGCATGTTACCTCTGTTCTTGCGTCGACAGTGAGCCATTACTTCTTATTGGCCGCTATAGCGTTACTGCTAGGAGCATTGACGCGACGTACAGCGTTGACACTGGGCACGATCACGGACGTCGGAAGTTAGCATTTGTCTAGTGAGGAGTTACCACTAACTGGGCCGGTCCAGCATTATTATTATTATTATTATTATTATTATTATTATTATTAATATTATTATTAATATTATTATTATGTGTGAAAAACTAATTTTTGTTATTCACTAAAATTCAATCATTACATAAAATATTAGAAGATTGACAATTGAAATAATAATTTTTTCAGAATCGAGACAAATAAAGACAAATAATATATATCAGAGTCTTTTCTCTATTTCGATCCACTAATAACATCTTTGGAGACATTACCAAAGATAAAAAGATCAAAATTATCGGACAAAATGAAAAAGCTATTACTTATTAATGCTAGCAAGAAGAGACTGAATCAGAAAATAGTGATATTGACTGAAAACACTATAATATATTGACAAATTAACATAACGTAATTAGTATGTATCTGCATATAATATAAATATCACCAGTATTTAAAACTATACAAGTAAAATGGATTTTTCACGCAAATAAATTTTTGTACTCAAAATCATATGTTGTTCCATTAACCTGATTTGATAGTCATACATCTAGAATAAGATAACATATAATTAATGTTTATAACCAAGTTATTACGTAATATATGCCTTGACAGTGAAGAAACTAATTTTTCTTGGAAATAGATTGAAAAAGTATATTGTAAGTTGGTTTTAAATCAAATTCAACCCATTAAAATATTTTGACACTTTTTTTGCTGCTCTGCATCACTGTGCGACGTATACACAGTATATAAGAGATCAAAAAGTGCAATGGCTATTTAAAAAAAAACAAGAGAGATAAAAAGATCACCACTTATCAAATAATCGTAGGAGAACGAAGAGCAGAAATTTAGTGATAGTAAATAACTTGATGTTGACGATATTATTGTCGTCTGCATTTAACCCTTTTCCTCCCAAATAACACAAATTTTTTCTTAACTTTCATCCTCATATCTTTTAATAAAAAAATCGTATGAAAAATTTATCAAGCATCACATCTTGTAGATTTTGACCTCCTCTTTCGAATGCCGTTAACAAAATTTACCTAAATTGTAACCCGGAAACGTTATAAGCCGGTTTTCCGGAAAATTCACAAATTTTTCGCGTTTTTTTTTCTAAAAAAAGTATATTTCGAAATGGAAAAAGTTTGCACACACCACTAAAAACACTGTTATCGGTGTTAGATGTCTTTTCTTTCAAATGCCGTTGGATTTTTTCCGAAATTCAAAATGGCGAACACAAAATAACGTTCGATAGGAAAAATTTTTTTTTTAAACTTGACCAATTTTTTTCTCCAAAACTATCAAGTTTAGTGAAAAATTTCTAAGAATAAAAATGTCTTAAAATTAGTCAAGAAATACTCTCAAATTTTTTCAGATTTTTTTACAGCGAATTTGGAAATTTCGATTTTCCGATTTTCCGATTTTCCACGAATTCGAAAATTAACTCTCTCGCCTAAAGTCCTATCGCGTCGCGATCAGGAAAATCGACTTTTAGCGAGGGTAGCAAAAAAAATAATTGTTAGACTTGAAATTTTTTAAACTTTTGTGAAACCAATTTGAAAAAAATTTACTCGTATACTAGGAATAAAATTGATTAATTTTTTACTCAAAAACTATTGACTCAATAAAAAAATTTATAATAACAAAAGAGTCTTAAAATTTACCAAGAAGTACTCTCAATTTTTTTCAGAATTTTCCGAGTTAATTTTCGAATTCGTGGAAAATCGAAATTTCCAAATTCGCTGTAAAAAAATCTGAAAAAATTTGAGAGTATTTCTTGACTAATTTTAAGACATTCTTGTTCTTAGAAATTTTTCACTAAACTTGATAGTTTTGGAGAAAAAAATTCGTTAAGTTTAAAAAAAAATTTTTTTCTTTCGAACGCTATTTTGTGTTCGCCATTTTGAATTTCGGAAAAAATCCAACAGCATTTGAAAGAAAAGACATCTATAACACCGATAACAGTGTTTTCAATGGTGTGTACAAACTTTTTCCATTTCAAAATATACTTTTTTTAGAAAAAAAAACGCGAAAAATTTGTGAATTTTCCGGAAAACCGGCCTATAACGTTTCCGGCTTACAATTTAGGT